TAGTTACAGTCAGTAGACTTTGTCTACTAACTCCAACTCCTTGCTCACAGAAATGCAGGGTTCATCCACTCAAGTATACCACTCGCACTCTCATACAATTTTAATGCACTTGCACACAGCCCACCTCAGCACTTTAGCATAATACTCATCCAAAGAAGCTCGTGGGCACGGCTCACCCATGTTTCTCTTACACAGATATTGGAAACCACAGTTTTCTTTTAATGTTTGCTAATTCATTCATTCTTGATATTATTTACTTGATATTAATGATAACAGATCAAATATATTAAATTTGTATATAAGATTGGTTTACAAGGATAATTTTCATCTGCTAAGTTAATGAACCAATGAAATTTCCTTCGGAAAGAACAAATTTTATCAGTGCATTTAGTTACTTTTCATTTTAGTAGCTTGCAAATTAATTAGTTCAATATTAGTTAACATAGAATTATGAGAATAAAAGCCCTTGTCTTTGTCAACATGATTGTTTATTATATTACTATCCTCAGCTTTTGATGGCTTGGCCATCATCAGATACATGCTGGAAGCCAGAAATACACCATTAGTATTAATATAATAAACATTAATGATCGTAAAGACAACACCTTTTATTCTCATATTTTGAATACCAACAACACATCACTAAGAAATCAATAACATACAAATATTTCTACTGCTTCAAAATAATGTAAATACATTAGCAATGATGTTTATGCATTCCACATTAACGCATAAGCAGAATAAAGCGTTAATGCATAACCAGATTATGCTCATAGGGGCTCAAAATTATTTTTTAAATTGTAAATTATACGATTTATTTTCATTATAATTTTGATTGCTTGTAACTAATATTTCAATAGAAGAGAATTCCATATTTTGTTTGTGCAAAACGCCCCCTCAGATATTGAACACGCTCTTTCATCACCCTCTAGGATATAATTGGGTAAATGCAACATTTCACATGTGAATAAATAACAATGATTAGGTGTGTTAAAACTACATTTTTGTCATTGGTAATTGGTTACGCAATTCAAAAATTATGTAAGACGTGGGTAGTCAATGCTTGTTTTACTATCAATACACTTATTTAATTTTTTATTTTATAAAGACTGGGTTTTCATGCACTGACAAGTCCTAAATATGCATGCAAACATGTGCTATCAAATAGCTACATAAGCACGATTGACAGGAAACATGAATGACTTGTGGACCATAAAATTTTGGTATATTTAATTAGTTTTATGTTCACCTGTTTGTCTCAAAGTTTTTTGAATGCACAAAACCTATGTACATGACAAAATGTAATAGAACAAACTTATTACTAAATTTGCTCTAACTACCACTTTACACTTCAAATTAGAACAATATAAATTCCTTTCGCTCCAAAATGTCTTCATGTGTGCAAATGTACATCGCTGAGGTCTGCATTTTATGAACTAATGTGCCAAGAGACATGTGTTAACAAACTTTGAGAAGTGTTATAAGCTTACATAAAAACTGGATTTGCATGGAAATCCTGATGAACTTTTTTTTATAGATCTTTAACTTCAAAAAAATTATCAAAATGATATGAACTCAAAAACTAACAAGTGTGATGATTGTTGTATATGTTGTTATATAAAGTACTGACCAGTAACAAATACTTTTTTTGACCATTGGCATTTAATATCATGAAAATTTATAGAAACTGAAGAAAATAATCATGTTGTGATGTTTATGCTCTTAATACATGAATCATTTTCCAGCAGATAACTGTAATACACAATAATATACATTAACCTGTTATGCATTTTTATTATTTTCTTAATTTTTATTAGTTAGTGCATTTCATGTAAACATATAATACTATGTTGAAATTTATGTATTTGTTCACACAGTAATGTAGTAAAAATAATTTTATCTAAGACCCAGATATTTTTGATCTAAAAATTTTGAGATGTGCTATTTATAGACTTATATCTGTGAAAATATGGCCTACATTTTTTCTTCAGTATTTTAATGTATTGTTGATGGAATGAAAAAAAATTAGTGACAAAAAAAGACACAAATTATAATTTAGTGAAAACATTTGGAATAGATTGTAAAGTCCCCAAAACACATACAGTGGTTTTTTATTGATCACTAACAAAAGTCTTCCATTTTATTCAAGGTTCGATAAAAATCTCAGTTCGTAATTTTGGCATGGTGTGTTTTGTTTCATTTCTTAATTGAAAGATTTTCTGCACAGCCCATTGCAAGCAAGGAGCTTACTTATTATCAGTGAAAAGCAAAGATGATATATACTCAATGCAGGTTGCAATTTTGAAAATTGTTATTAAAAATTCTGAACTGTATATTGACCTGTGTGAGATGAATGCAAAGGAAATGGTTTCAAAATTAGAAAACTAGGGCCTGAAATATCAAGAAGAAACCAAAATTTGCCAAAATATGTCTAATATGATCCATAAAAACAAAAATGTGATGTATCAGCAATAGGGTCTTACCTCTAGTCCTTTTGTGGGTAGTACAATTCATATCTTGTGTCAAACACATGTCGGATAATCAATGTGGGCATCAGGCTGTGTGCCTGGGTGCTGCCAAATAACAAGCACTAAAAGTTTATTTAACTTTAAGTTCAGTGCCATCTGAAGAGTGGTGTCAGCTGAATAGGTCACTGACCTAGAGTGAGGCAATAGGTGCCCTCACAACTGGTGCATTGCCACTCTCTCCTGCTCTTTTCCGTGCAGTAAAGTACAGCACTCCGGCTCCGGAAGGTCATTTAGAAATCTACAGGTGGAATCAGTGTGAAATAGCGATGGTTGATTGTCGCAATTCAACATTCATCTCTGTCAACTTTTCCTCTTTTTGCTGTGCCATGCACACTGTCTGGCTGCAGGTCACAGGAAATTTTATAAGATCGAAACTATGACCGAAATATTAAGCATGGTAGGGAGAGTCAAACGCAGTCGCAGGGATAAAATATCTGCCAAAGTCTGAAGAATGGCTCTCCTCGATGTTGCATGCCTCGATGTAATTTTCTGTTTGTCCAATGCAGCTCTAAGTCTGCCTCTGTGAGCCTCGCTATGGCAAACACAAAAACCAAACTCTTTGTGTTTCAAGATTTCCTCCTGTGATTTTGTCCTCTGACCTTAATTGTGAAATTTCTAACTTATGCGCAAGTCCTATTTGACTTCTGATTCCATTATGGTATATTAGAAGGGTTTCAGTTGCTGTTATTGGTGAGAACTCTTTTTCTTCTAGATTATTGATAGGGATGAATGTTGCATCATGGAAACTTTTAACTCCCTTCTCTCAATTTGCCATCTGTCTTTTCATGTGGAATTTTCTGCTAGTATGCATAGTTTGGGGTGCCCCTCCAATAACCCCTTTCTTTTAATTCACTAGGGAGTACAGTTGCGTGTAGCGAGAGCTTGATGTGCCTTCCCCCTTTCGGACGGCTGGCTGACCAACTGGCTTGTGACTTCTTGAGATTACATTGCAAAATAATTAAGAGGAAAAAAATGTCAAGTGTTGCCCCCAGTTATGCGCATTAATTCCAAATGAAAAAAAGTCAAGTGTTCAATTGGTTCTTTTTTTGGTTGTGTCTCAACATTCTATCAATGTCACAAGTTTATATTTATGGAGTGTCTGTCTAAATGAAGATATTCATGCTTCTGAAAAAATTTCCCCCCTCATTGCATTCTGTACTTATATAATAACTATAGCCACATTCAGACCTTTTTAAAGGCAATTCTTTCCAGTGAAATATTCCTGGAAAAGTGAGTTAGGTCATCAACTGATGTCATTGCAGTGCCTCTAATCAAGAGGTCCTAGGTTCGAGTCCCATCAGTAGAAGGATTTTTTACACATGCTAGATACCTAGGTTGAATTCAGTTGCAGTCTGTGGGAGAATTCTAGTGGCCGGCTGCTCTGGTCGGTAGTTTTCCAGAGCAATACCCTAAGGAAATTAAATTTCTCTCCTTGTTCATTTTCCTGTTTATTACTTTTTTTTTAGTGATTCTTGATTGTTTGCGAACAATGTTGTTTTGATTGATGTTTTCTGTTCATATATTTCTGTCATTGATTTTTGCTTTCCATTTTCTGGTGTTATTGGAATAGAAACTTAAAAGGAGTGGAAAGTGACCATTTCCTTGGCTTAGATCACTTGTAGATTGAATGAGTTATGTATTTTTGGTTGCCATGTGTTATCTGCATCTTTGAGTATTCATACATACTTTAAATCCCTTTATTTGAATAGGGATACCTTCCTCTTAAAGAATTTTTACTTGGTTTTTCTCTTATAACATTGACATAAGCTTTTTATATTCTAGTAACAAAATGAAGTTGTTCTTTTCTTTATGTTTATCCATTATCCTTTGAAGAGCTGAATTGCTAAGTGTATCTTTAATCATGTCGGCAAATAATTTTGAGGAGGAGGAGGAGGAGGAGGAGAAGTTTTACCCCTGTAATATTACTGATTGCCTGTGTCTGTGTTACCTTTTTTGCATAGGTCATCTTGCAAATCCAAGGTGTACTGCACTCTCTCACATTTTGTTGAATAAGTTTCCCATTAAGCTGTAAAATTCAAGTCCTCCATATTAAATTAATTCTGGGTTTATTTTGTCCATTCCCGGGCTTTTTCAATTTTTAGATGTTCTTAAGACTTCTTGTAGCTTTCGGTAAAAATGGATTTAATTCTTGTTCATTAATACAGGCTGTATAAATATAAAAATGTAAATTGGGAGTCTTTTTTTTAGATTGTATTGATTTAAACTTTTAGTTCTGGCAGTGAATACAATTTCTTATGTTCACTATAAAATATTAGACTTTCTAACATCACATTTTTGTTTTAAAACCTTGGTTTTATTTTGTACTTATTACATTTTGTCTTGTTCAGCCAAAGAGATTTTTGATTTTTGTTTATACCAGTCTTCATAGTGTGTGCATGTAATTTTCATTTGCATATTGACAGCATGTGATATGTTCTATAAGAACCTTCAATTTTCATTTATTTATTTCAGGTACCGGTAAGCTCGGTTTCTCCTATGTCCGCATTACGGCTCTTCTGATTTCGTCAAATCGCCTTTGGATTGGCACTGGCAATGGTGTTATTATTTCTGTACCTTTGTCTGAACGTAAGTGTGCTTTTGACAAATATGATTCTTTATTTCACAATTTCTGAAATGATTTTTTAATTTTTTTTAAAAATCTTTCTTTACTGGATTACAGATGCAGGCAACAGGGCAAATAGTAATAACCCCACCAATAATCCTCGTGGTCCTGGGGGTGTTGTACGTGTTTATGCTGATAATAGTAAAGTGTATCCTGGAAGTTTTGTTCCATATTGTTCAATGGCACAAGCTCAACTCTCATTTCATGGTCACAGAGACTCTGTGAAGTTTTTTGTTGCTGTACCTGGTAATAATATATTATGTTAGTAGTTATTATATTATAATTCCAAAATTACTATCATGCAATTAATTTCCAATATCCTGAATAAATCTCTGGGTTACTCATTATATTTTCAAAATATATTCAATAGACATTTTTTAACATTAAAATGACTGAAATGTATGACCAATATTCTGTTGGGCAGTAATGATTTAATTTTTAAATGCTTGAGTGTTTTATGTTAACAATGTTTGCGCAAAGTAATTGTTACAAGTAAATTGGTTGAATTATTTTGTGGCATTAAAAATGTATTCCTTACGTGTTGTAGGTAATGGAGGTTTATCTACCCCAAACAGTACATCTAAAGAAACCCCTATTATTGAGAACATGGACAACGATAGCTTTGAGCCAAAGAAACCTGCTTCAATGCTGGTGATGTCTGGAGGTGAAGGTTACATTGATTTCCGCATAGGTAAGACTGTTTTTATCTGGGGCATGCTAGTCAAAATTGTGCTGCTATTAACCAAATAACTGAAAAGTAGATGAAAATACCGTCCCTGCACAAGAGAACATTTGTGAGTTAATTAGTTCTCTTTTTATTATTATTATTATTACAAATATTTTTTTATGGTGATTTCCCTTTAGCAGCATGTTCATTTGTTCCTGAATTTAAGCTTATTAGCTGTATTACCATGGGAATGGGTCCTTTAAGTTTAATTTTCAAGTGGTATACAATTTGAAAATTGAACTTAAACACACCTTTTGCATTGTCCTGGTGATTTATTGCAGAAAGATATTTACAAATTGCCATAAGTACGAGATGATTTCTTGGTACAGGTAGCTTCTTTTGAATGAAAGTGGAATTATATATTACTCCAACATTTTTTATTTGATATTTTAGTTTTTATAAATTATATTTTGAGAACATTTTTAATTGGGATTCCGGAAGGAAAGTCAGGCCCAGTTATTCTCTAATGATTGTAATTTGTCTTCTTGGTGTCAAAAATTAATTCTTGCCTAAAACAGTGAGTTGTATTTGTCTGTTGTAAAAGTCAGTTGTATTTGGAGTGTTGTAGAATGACATTTTGAAGGATGAAATAATAGTTGTCATCTTTGCTAACTCAAATTTATTCAGAGAGCTGGCTTTCAATGATTTTGCTTGGTTTCCTTTATATTATTTTGTATTTTATTTATATTATTTCTAAACTAGTCATGACGGCAAAGCCATCAAAAGCTGGCTTGATGATCAAAGATGATATCTGTTATTTCATCGTTTAATAATATCACGAACACCTCATTAATATTCTCACAATGAATATGAGATTGTTTGAGTATATCTTTGCCTTGTTTTTGTCTTTCCCGTTCATGTGCATATAGAGAAAATATCTTGAAAGTCCATATTGTTAGCTTTATTGGTCTTTGATATAGAAAAATTGTCTTGGTTATGAAAAAAACAATTCTAGAATTTAAAACCTACTCTTGGCCTTTGACTGCACTTCTTAACCTGCCATTGACATGTATTTTATACAGACACTGAGTGTTCTGTAAACTTGGGGAGGGGAGTTCAGTAGGCGAGATTCACCATGCGGCATGATTGAAGGAAAATATGAATGTGTGAAAAGCAGAACAATAGAATTGACATTTTATAAATTCAGAGAAATTTGTGTAATTACGTCAATATTATGGTAAAGTTGTGGTGGTTTGTTTCATCATTAAAACCACGAAAATACTTTGCCTCTGACATATAACATAAAATAAACACATTCTTCTCAGAATTTGTAAAATGTCTCTTATACCATTCTGGTTTACACCCTTTCATATAATGTAACGTGAATTTACTCTTACTCCAAAAGTAGATTGCAAAGGAAGGATGAGAGATGGTGAACGATTGCGGGCTTGCATAAAAACTGTCTTCACACCAATGTGCGAAATGGCTCCAGCCGTGGCCTCGCGGAGCGGCATTCACTGTCCATGGGCTCTAGGTCTCTAGGGATGCGACATCGATGTATTAACACGGATCTTTTTAACATCGATATTTTCTGATTCACGTTTTTCCTTTTCTGATGTTTCTGAGTGAAAAATTCCTATGTTAACAATACTGTAAAAGTTAAATATGAAATAACTGGTAGTAATACTGTTATTCGTGTGCTGGAACCAAAGGAACCATTTGGCGCTACCTCAATCGACCAGACTCTCTCGCCCGAGATGACCTCCATGCCCTTCATATTCATTTCCCACATTGAGATACGGCCAACAAATACACTATGGGTCTGACCCATCTTTTCTTACCTTTTTTCGGTGATTTGATAAACACGAACACTGTCAAATTAAATTTTAATGCACACGAATTTAATATGAGAGGCTACTAAGCCAATCTAAAAACCGAGGGTTGCTAACATGTTTCTAGTGGACAGTGTGCGTTGGAGGTCGAAGGTAGGCCGCCCGAAGGCGGGAGCGACGGCGCTCTCTGCGAAGAGCGGCGTCAACGCACACGCGCGGTTAATAGAGCGATCGCTCTCCTGGTCGGACTCCTAACAGCACTCACTCCGTAATTCATTGGAAGCTTCTTGGCCCTTTACCGGTTCGAGGGCATCGGCAAACGATACACCGGAAGCATTCCGATTTCCCAGACCGCTGACTGGCAGGCGAGCTCCGCGGCACGAGCGCGGACGGTATGTAGGACGGTTTGTATGTAGTTCTAGAGAGCGGCCTACACCAAATCTGTTGATTTACGGCCGCCAGAATAATTAGTTTCTTCCGCACTTCTTTTCTCTCTAATGCGAATCACTTCCACCTTAACCCTTTTCTCTTACTACTTTTGCTTAGTTCCCTTGAATAACAATTTAATTTAATGTTCTAGTTTGTAGATTTAATCAAAATAATTACCATCCGCATAACGGTTTCTTTATGTATTGTTACTCTAACGTAATTTAATTACAAGATGGCTGCTCTAGCCTAACGTTTCTGCACTGAAGCAGTTTACTCGTCGGCTATTTGGAAGAGAACAAACTCACACATCGGCGTTTCGCGAGAGAAGAGTGTTCCGTTTCGTTTCCCGCACTCCCTATACACTCGACTTTCCTCGTAAGGGGAAACATGGTGTCAACGATCCCTTCGGGACTGAACCTTCAGTCACTCCTTCCTATGAAAGTTGGTCACAGTATAGTGGTCAGCAGCTCATAGAGTGCTCTTTCAGTAACCACTCCCTCGTGCACGTTGCAAGCTCCGGACTCTCTGGTCTTCAACCTGTGGGTGTACTGGGATGTTTGGAATATTATCAAAGGTCACAAATATGTACCAAAACAATAAATTCCGTCACCGTTGAAAGTTGCCACATTCACGTGCCTTTTTTTTTCTCGGAGGTTTTTGTGCTGTTCATTTCGTTGTAACCACTAGATGATGCTGCAGCACAAGATAATCAGTTAAGTGCAATTCCCAATCCACCTGGAAACCTATGTTTAATTTGTTACCGAGTGTCACGGCGTGAGGTCGAGAAGACCAGGAGGAGCAGGCAGCATGGGGTGGAGAGAGGAAGAGGGAAAGAGACAAAAAAAGAAAAGGGAAAAGAGGTGAAGAGAGAAGGGGAAACAGGGGAGTAATGGCAAGAAGAAGGTGAAAGAGGGGAAAATAGGTGGGGGGAAAAGGGGTGAAAACATAGTAGGGAAAAAGAGAGGAAAAATGGAAAAAAGAGAGAGGAGACGAAAAGGAAAAAGAAAAGGAGGGAAAAAGTAGGACGGAGAGACAAAAGGAAAAAGAAAGTGAGAAAAGTGAAAGAGGGGAAAAGAAAGAGCAGGACTGTACCAGGTTCTGGTAGATTACTATAAATAAGAACAAGATTTATCAATTTTTTCCTTACTAAGGATCGGCAATAAGTTGTCGAAAATTAGACTTTATTCGGGCAGCATTACAATACTTTCTCTACTCTGCGTAATCAGTACCAAGAAAGCAATGGCGGCTCGTGCTTGGGTTGCACCCAGATATAATTGAAAAGGATCTGATAATATCATAAGAGTATACATTTTCCTTGTAATGACATTCGATATTCAAGATATTGCAGCAATATCGATGTATATGAAATCATTTTTAAATCAAAGAGCGTCCAACTGGCGGTCTCTCTGCTGTCTGGTACCTTGCTGAGTATTGCACCACGCTCTTGACTCTATTACTGGGTTTTCTGTGTTTACTTTTTGGCCTGTCAATTCAACACGGAACACGCAGCCTTCAGTTTGGTGGTCTGTGGTGGCGCAACCAAACAGATCACTGAACAGCGCTGTGTTGGCCAAAGGAGTCTGAGGGGAATACCAATATTGCCTTAGTCTGACTTGCTGAAACTTAATTAATTATGAATTTCATGTGTAATTGAAAGTACACAAGTTCAGTCCATTATTGACTCCATTTAATGCATTATTCATGATGTTTAGAGAATTGATTTTCATTTGATTTTAGATTTATTATGTGCACTTGATGAATTCTTTTTGTAAAGATGGCCGTTCTGGAAGGACGTCCCTTTCTATCTTTCACAGAAGGTGCATATTGATGCACATTTTCACCTGCACTTACAGTCGGAGAGCGCGGGTGGGAATATGAGCATGTGTGTGTATGGGTCTTTATTACAAAATATACCAGGGTCGTGAAATTTTCCAAATAAAATGATTTTATTTGTGTGGATCATGTTGAGGCAAAGTGCTGGTAGCAATACGCTGGAGTCGAACTTAAGTTCTAAGTGCAAATCAAATCTAGAACCATGTCCGTGGAAGGTATACCTGACACTGACACTATGCATAATATTATGTAAGTAACATTTCAATGTAGACTTTTATTCAACTGAGCTATAATTAATTTTGTCTTGAATTGCTTACATTTTTCTTGTGTATTAGAGTTTTGAATTTTGGAAATTACATTTCTGTCATTCAATGGAGGTGCAACCTTCAGTCCATTGGGACACCAGCCGCCACTACGAGAAAGTAAACAAAATAAGAAAATGTGAAAAAATGTACTTTGAACAGTAATAGATGACAGACAGGAAGGTGTGACAAAATCAGAATTCTAGTTCAGACCGCAGAAATTTAAGAAACTGGTTTTGGGGTCCCCTGATACCGACAATGTGATTTTTTTCAAAATTTCTGCTCATCTGTCTCTTTGTCTCGCTCTAACTCAGGTCATCTCTCCGTCCCACAGCCTCTCAGCCCACTCTTTATCCCGGTCTAATTCAGGCCATTTCTCCCTCCCCCAGCCTACTCTGTCCTGCTCTCCGACCGTCCGTCTGTCTGTCTCTCTCCGTCCGTGTGTCTGTCTGTCTGTCTCTCTCCGTCCGTGTGTCTCTGTCTCTCTCCGTCCATGTGTCTGTCTCTCTGTCCATGTGTCGGTTTGTGAACAGCGTGTAAACTATTTTTGGGATGCTAAATACATTCTTTAAATATAGCCCTGGGACATTTTCAAACTTTTCTCAAAAATGAATCAAATTTTTTTCTT